GTGGCTGGGGGCTGGTGGGAACTTTTTGGGGGGGATGTTATGCATGTTATGATGCTTCTTTCTTTTTCTTGAATTGGAAACGGCAACGAGGTGGAAGAATTTTGTGCAGATGCCAGAGGGCCAGAGGTAGTACTTTGAATCTTTGCCGCTCTATATATTCTATATGAGGATATCAACAAGATTTAATACGGATGCAGGTTTGTGTGGCATAGGGCCTAGGGTACCCTTGCAGGATGATCCAGAGCGTCACTGAAACCTCTTGGCACCTCCACATGCCTTCGATCATCCGTTTTGGTCTCGCTGAAAGAATCATTCAAAAAGGAAGTATTTCTGGCGAAAAACGAAACATCATCTTCCAGGCCCATGAGGTGTCGATTCTGTGGTAGGATCTTGTAGCCAAGCTTGCCGGAGAGGGCGATGCTTTCGTGGATGGTTCAGGAGAAGATTGTGGAGAAGGGCACCCGCCTGATCAATCAAGGGGATGATGGGGACTCTTGACTCAAGGTGGAGAGTCTCATTGAGCATGCGCGCGTGCGCTGCTACCGCGCATGCACAATGAGACTTTGTTCTACCGCGCTCGCACAGTCGACTCTGTCACCTTGAGACGACCATACGCCACTGTGGATGTACAAGTTACAACAGCAGAATTTGGAAGCATGGGCCAGCATGGGAGAAGAACGACTTTGTTCATTGAACGATTTCCTCTTCAGGCATTCTGAGTGCCTGAAGAGGCATCCCGGCATCCCTCACACCTTTATGCAATCATTGTATGGCTGGAATAGCAGTTCCTTTGTCAATGTGTTGGCGGAACATCCAACAACGCTTCACGGGATCAAAGGGATGGACACTGGGACCAACAGGCCTCTGTCGAGATGTATGACTGTATCATGTATTACAACGTAGGTATCCTATGATATCGTACAGATGCAGCAAAAACGATTTGCAAAGTGCAAATGAATACAGAACGGCTCTTGGGGATGGAATTCAGTATCAGGGGCAATTGTTCGATGGCGATGTGTCGAAACCATGGAACGAATTGGATTAGCACCCCCTCCCGCGCCCCTTTCGCTTGCACAACTCAAAAAGACCTTCGATAGACTGCTGGTCTTGAGGATTGCCTCTACGTGGTGGAGCATGGGCAAATGAATTGCTTCATCCGTCAGCCGGATGGAGGTGAACGAAAAGTGAAGGAGAGAAGTGAACGAAGTGACGAGAATGTGACAAAAGGGATGACCCTTGCCCTTTGTGACAAAAGCTCTTTTGCGTTGTGTTTAAGCATGGTAAATCGGTTGGGCGACCAACATCTGAGTGCGATTTGGGATGTCCCAACTGAATCCGGATGATCATCCAAGGCAATTGCACTCAGGGGCTCTCACGTCATTTCGCCGTGGCCAGAAAAGGGAAGACCGATGTCTTTTACTCAGCAGATTGCTTGAATGTCCCATCAGAAGTCCAGCTTCCTGCTATATACAGTATGTTCATTGTTCATCCTCAAGGGATCTCCCAAGCCTCAAGTCAAAGCAGCCGTATATACAGTGGTTTCAGAGTAGATGGCACAGACCTCAAGATGTCCTTTACATGGGGGTTCATATAAACCACCTCTTGGGGTCTGTGCCATCTACTCTCAATCCACTATAAATGTGGAGCTTTGAACGATGAAGTTTGGTGCAGTGCAAAGGAGCAAATCCTCCGTCTTTCGGATGACAAAAAGACCACATCCGATTCGAATGACGCAAACCGCAGGAGTGCACGGCGGGCGATGCCTTTGGTGAGCTGGCCTTGCTCTACAACTGCCCCAGGGCTGCCTCTGTGGAAGCTGGCGAGAGGCGTGGGACGACGTGGGACGTGGGTGGGACGTGGGTAGAGGTGGGGTGGGAGCTGGGGTCATAGTGAACTTGGGGACTGACTGTGAGGTTGGGAGCTAGAAACTCCAGCCAAGTTTGATTGATGGCAGGCTACGAGAGAGGAATTGACATCTCCACCAAGTGCATGACTTGATACCTCCATAATCCTCCATAAGTGAAGATCCCCTTTAGCCATATGCCGTGAGTGCCCACCCGCAACAACAATCCCAAACACTGGTTCTTCTCTCGCTCAATCAAGTGACTCTCAAGGGTGAGATCTTGAGTGACCCTTCTCCCGTTTTGCAAAGAATCAACCAGAATGCAACAGCTGAATACAGGACAGAAACATCATCAAACATCACACTCTCAATGGGAAAGGAGCCTTCTTCTGAGACAAGTGAAGTATCCACTCTGTTGTCTTTGATTTTGCGAGCACCTTGGCCCAGCTGATTTTGGCCGAGCAGCTTGGTCGGATGCTTTCAGGTCAGTTCTATGGATGTTGGACCGTGAAAGCTTCAACAACATCGCCGGGAGGCTCAGACAGAAACTGACTCCTGACCTCGCGATGCGCAGCCGCATGCGAGAGGAGGTCATTTGGGTTTGCTGCAGGTGCTTTCCGCACGTTGGTCGTTTTTGTTTTTCTTCTGCCGTGTTGCGACATGAACATCATAAACACATCAAACATCTTGAGGTCAAGAAGGCTGCAGCTGCTCATCGAGAGCAGTTGGAGGAGTTTTTGCAGAAGGTGCCACTCCTACAGACGATGGAGGTCGGATGCCCGATGCACTGGAGTCTGAAAAAAGAGTCTCTGGATCTGTTGTTTTGAACCACAACCCTTTGGCTCCACCTGCCACACACCACCGGATCTTCCCCCTGCTGTCACCATGCGGGACCCCTGCTCGCACCCTTGGTGTCCTGACAGTACCCTGAGGTCCATGAGAGAAGTGCCGTGTGCGATGCCTTGCGGCCGGTGACCTTCTGTGAAGGTGAGGTCATCGTCCACCAGGGCGAGATCGGTGAGACCTTTTACCTCGTTGAGGACAGAGCTGAGAGCTGCTGAGACCGACCTGACCTCGTGAGGTGGGGGATCAATGATCCGCAGCTGTTTTGGGGAAGTTCATTGGTTTGGAACCATTAAGAACTGCTGGAACAAGCAGCTCCTTTTTGTGAGAGGAAGCCAGCAATCTTGCGAGGATATTCAGGGTTTCCTGCAGTGGGGTCGGATGTTCAGATGGTTCGCAAGCGAATGTGCCGGGTGTGGTCTCCACAGGAGGGAACTGCTGTGGTCTCCAAAGTCTATGTGCCTGGCACACCAGCGAAAGAAGTGTTGAGGCGAGGGCTGTGGATGGAGCATCTCTCTGCTGTGGATGTGGAGGTGCTGTGGAGGTCCTTTTAAAACAATTGGCCAAAGGTGCAGTGATTTTCCCTGGCATGTACTAATTGTTTATTATTCTTACAAAAAAGTAATTTCTACGTTTGGATTTGCTCCGGGGCTCCCAAGTTTTTAAACTTCTTGTAGCGTGCACGCTGAAATACGTCGTTGTAGAATGTAGAAGTGGCTGCCCCAGACCCAACCCCAACCTCCCAAGCAACCCGACACCTCAGATTCTCCCAGATCTCTACCAGCTTGCCATTGTCCGGCAGTGGATTTGCTCCCACAACTCAGGAATCACATGAAAGAATCTTACATCGCATCGTGGCCCATGACCCTTCTTGGGCCTTTCAGATTTTGCTTGTCATCAAGACTGATTTGCAACATTGCTGGTATAATGCGGGTTGGCTGTTGCCGCTTCATTCTGCCAATTGCATCCACACAGAACAATGCTTGCAAAGTCGCTACACTCTCCCCAACAAACACCTTCCTTCTGTTGCACACCACATGGCACTTCAGAACGATGCTTTTAGACATCTTTAGATACTTTCCCTGTTAGAAGATAATACCTAGACTCCCTAGAGCTCCTTATTTTTTTCCTACTTAATAGAATGGGGTGATCTACCTTGAACCGAACGTCAGGTTGGCACATGGAGACTACTTCGGTGAGCTGGCCCTGCTGAACAATGACCTCCGCGCCGCGACGGTGACCGCCAGCTCCACGTGCCGCTGCTTGGCGCTCAGCCGGAGGACCTTCGATCGGCTGCTGGGCCCTTTGGAGGACTGGCTCAATTAGGGGGGGTGGTTGGTGATAGGAGGGAAGGAAGGAATGGAAGGAATGGATGGTTTTCATCACTTCAAACAGTTGTTTTTTTTGAAGATCCCCAACTATTTGTGGGGAAGCCTTTGGGAAGCGCAAAGCCAAAAGAAAGTTTGCGACAGGACATCTTGAGGCGCAATGCCACAGAGTACGACTGAGGGCTGCACGTGGCACCGGGTGGCGGAGCTCAGAGTTGTGGCCGTTGGAAAGGCCCTGGTTGGTTCAAAGTGGCCTTTAGATAGATTTGGGTAGTTTAGGGGTAAGACTCAAACATGATGGCCTCCCTTGAACTGGCGGATAGATTTTTGACTCATTCACTTTTCCAGCATGTTTGATCAACATCGTTGAGCCACACCGACCGAGTCTCGACCTTTTTAAAGCCATTTCTGAAAGGAGCCGGCTTTCGTTCCCGAGATACCGCACGAGCCATGCCACAGTCAGGGCGGCCGTGTTACTTGAGCGATTCTTGTGCTGAGAAGAAAGGGACGGTGCTTGCGAACTCAGACTTGTTGAAAAAACCCTTTGACGTCCTATCTCCATTGTTTTTTCTTCAAATTTTATCTTGTATCGATCATGGAATCATATGTATGTTGATGTGAACCACCAGGCAGTACACTTTTGATAAAGGATTTGTACACGGTCTGTGTAGGATCAGGCCACTGAAAGTACTGATTAACTTCAAGCCATGTGTTTGGTTGTACTCGTTCGATTGATTTGTGCCCTTCGAAGGTTTGAGGTTTCTACACTCTCGGCCGACTTGACATATCTTGGAGATCGTAACTTCACGGCTCCTGGCATTTGTATCCGACATAGTGGTTCAGATCGGCTTCTTGCTCAACTAGCTATGACAGGAGTTCACCTGCTTACCCTTTTTTCTCTCGGATGTCTCGTGTATGTCCCACAAGCTGGCACATCCATCAGGCTCCGACGGACGGCACCCGACGCGCCGCGTGACTACGAAGAGGCGCCTGAGACCTTCGACGACTATCACAAAGCCGACGAGGCTGGACAGTGAAAAGCGGTTGGTATGCTGTGTGTCCTCTTTGGATTTGGCTCAAATTGCATGCTTTGGGCTTGGGCCCTAAACATCTTGAAGCTACATCCATCTCTTGGTGGGTGGCTTGCCTTCTTCCAGACTCACAGACAGCCTGCGAGCTTGCGAATCGTCCAGACTCCCTCTGCCATTCTCGGAAAGAGACCCCAGCCGTGTTTAGTAGAACAAGACAAGGGTGAGCAAAGGAATCTCTGCACCCTAGAGCACTCATAATGGAGCACACAGGTCAAAGCACGCATATGAGAACACACATATGAGAGCTCACATATGATGAGCAAACAAACGAGAGCACACGCATGAGAGAGCACAAACACACACACACACACATGAGAGCATACCTAAAAATGAGCACACACACACACACACATGTCAGAGCACACATATGAGAGCACACACACACACACATGAGAGAGCACATGTGTGAGCACACCTGTGAGAGCACATCTTCGCGGTTAACAAAGTGCTTTGCTTGCTACGAAGACGTTCACAAAGTGCTGCCCCTGCCATGAATTCCGCACATCAAGATTCACATTTGCGAGTGTGTTTCGCAACAAGCACCTCCAAGGACAAGTTCGGGATGCCAAAACGAAGCACTTGCGCGATACGTGTCCTGACTCCAGCAAACAAGCCACATGTCCAAAGTTCACTCACTGCACCTGCCACGAAATCAGAGCACGCCAAAGATCACCACCATGCCACAAAGTGTCGTGCGCATCGAAGTAAAATGGCTCGGATCTCCGGCACCTGCTACGAAAAGGCAACTTCAGATCCACCAATTCTGAAAATGTACAGCACAACGAGAGTGCAGTCGAGGAAAGCACCCGGTCCAGCCCACCCGTTTGTGACCCTGCGCAGTCGAAAGGCACTTCGAAAATCTCTAGGGGGCATGAATCTGCTGTCGGCAGTGAAATAGCTGCCGATGGATGTGAGCAACCTCTATCAAACCCAGCCTCAACGACTACCGTAAAAACTCTTAGTGCGACATTGCGCGACCACACTGATTGGACAGACCCAAACAACCCCGTCGCAGTTTCCTTGAACAGTTCGCTTGATTTCATGTGGAGTAGACATGGAACGAGTACGGATAAATTACATAACGATATTTTCCCTTCCGATTCCGGCGGAACCCGCAGGCTGCCGGGGTCTTTGTGCTTTTGGATGCCCTCATCCGTGACATTGCACCTCGGCCGCTGGAGAACAGATTGGAATCTTTAGCCTAAAAGAAGCGAGCACAAAGAAAAGTAGATCTTCCACTCATTTGGCTCAATTGGTTTGTTGAGACCAAACCTGACAAGCTCATCCAGTCGCCCAAAATTCTTAGGAACTCTCAAGATTTTTTCCTTGGCAAGTATTCAAGGTTTTGTTTTGGACCCTCCGTCCCTGCACTTCTCTGAGGAACATCAGATGTCCCAGGTGGAAGATTCGGGGAAGTGATGGGAACGGGGAGCACGTCGTGCTGCCGCAGGACTTCCGGTACATCTCATCCATGGGCTAAATCTGGCTGTATCATTGTGCTTATGACTCACCACCAACAGCACTTGTTGATGATCCACACATGTGGAGACCTCTGAATTTGTAGTTGAGTCCAGTGCACCAAGGGTCTCATCATTTGAATGACTTGATACACTTTCTTCTCATGTGAGTCAGGAGGATTGGTTCCAAGTCCATCTGACCGGTGCCTTTTGACTTGGAACTTCCACTTTCCGGTGGGTCGGGGCCCGGGGCGTTTCTTGAGAGAGGCTGAGACGGAAGAGCAGGAGGATCAAAAAGGATATGAAAAGATCATGCAGGACAGGTTGCATTGTTAATGGCAAACCAACGCAGAAACGCAATTTCAGACAACGGTACTCCGGATTGCCCTTGTCACCGCTTGGGATACATAGAACACGACAGGATTCTTTCCGTGGAAGGTTGAGGATCATTCCAAGACGCCAAAACAGCTGCCAAAAAATGACAACGCCACAGGAAACAGAGACCTTGCAGAGCATCGTGTGTATGGTTTTCCGTCGGAAAGCCATGACTGGGTGTTTTTGAAGTTTTTTTTTGGGTCCTGGTACTGTCCGCTTGCTTCCGCCGAACCACTTCTTGCACCTTCACCGATCCCAGGAGGCCCAAGTTCCTTCCAGGAAATTGGTGGCACTCACCACATGAGTGTTCCGCCCCCACAAACGGCACCAGGACAGAAGCAAGAAGCGTGAGAGTGATTCGCAAAGCGTCGCCAAGAAGACTGCACGGAAGGTGGGCCTGTCGTGGCTTCCATCTTCCTTTAGTTTTTGGTGTTTTCGGGGCTCCAGGGCCTCCAAATCAGGAGAACGGTTGATATCTCCTGGAGAACGGTGGTGGTGGATGAAAGAGACGTCGTTGTGTTTCTTGGCGAAGCATTCGTGAAAAAGAGCGCCCGTGTCTAGTGATCTATTCCCCTCCGTCTCGAGATGGGTATGTGTCGAGATGGATATGGTTCAGCAGATCCCCAGTTGGTGTGACGAAACAAACAACAATGGGTGGCTAACCTTTGGCGCAGCAACATACTTGCGTGTACTCGGAGCTGCCATTGCGTCAGCGTCTTGCTGTGAGGCCGATGTCTCCTCTGACCTGCAAGTCTTGAAGGAGGGCAAGGCCAATGTGAAGAAGGAGAGCCGACACAGCCGACTGCGCCCAGAGTCGAGCCCATGAGACCCAAGAGCTGAGCTCGTGGTTTCGTGGGCGAACGGCTCAGTGGAGGCTGATGCAAAGACCTCAAACGAAGCTTGCTTCCGTTGATGCGACCACGTCGCCGGAGCGAGTCACAGGTAGCGGGGCAAAACAAAGTCGGCATTCTCAGGAAGAATGGAAGAATACCTTCGGCGTCTAGGGGTGTATCACACCTGTATCGAAGTAGCGTTTGGACGCCCCTTAAAAGTGAATAACCGCCAAGCAATGGTATGAGAAACCTCGCTCAACCGTCGGGGACCCGTCCAAAAGTTCCAATGGTTCATTGGTTGGACTCAGTTGATTGTGATGAATTTTGGATCATGAATCAACCTTTCCAAGAGGAGGCGGCCTTGGTGCCTGAAGCACACGTGTCATCCCTTTTGAGCAAAGCTTCCCTGAAGGAGCTCAGTGCAACTGAGGACTACGTTTGGGTCGCTCAGGAGAACCCGTGTTTTTAGCAGAGCTTCCCTGTTTTCAGGGAACTGTGTCATCAAGTTCCTCAATCTTTCTTTCGTTCTCCAGCTCAAGCTGTTTCGAATGTTTCGCACCAACAGCGTCTCAATCAAACCCGTGCCTTCTTCATTTTGGGAGAGCCACACCTCCATCTGAGATCAAGAACCTCCACGACGAATGCGACTGGCTCCTCTCGAACTTCCAGGCGCCGGAGTTCCACAAAGCTTATCAGGTGCCATTCTCTCTCTCTCTCTGATCCAATTGTACTGATCACGAAGTTTTTTGAGAGACTGTCTCAATGCTTCCTCTTAGTGATGGTGTCCCCTTGTTCTTTTGGTTTCAAGAATGCGTCCGATGGCCAAGGGCAGGGGCGGAACGAAATCGCTAAAATCAGTCGTTTGCCTTGGTCGCTGAGGCCCGCTCCGAGGCACGTGAAGAGGAGGTGGAGCGGGGCGACCCAGAGCCTCAAGTGGTTCGAAGGATGGCTTGGACACCTAGAGCCGCTGAGGTCAATGGGTCAACGGATGGCTTAGGAGGTTGGGATTTTCAAATATATACTCCTGGAAACCCAAACAATCAGAAACAACCATTGTTATGTAAGGGATCTTAATCGCCATATTATTGGAACAATTTGTTTCTGGTTGTTTGGGTTTCCAGGCTTGGCTTTCACGATCGATAAAAGGCATCCTACTGCTCAACACACACGGCAGTTCCAATTTTTCAATCGCGTTGTGGTGCGTCAACCCATTGATCTCTCACTGGTTCCATTCAACTTCTCAACTTCTTTTTTGGAGAGCCTTCATCAGTTGGACAACAGTGAGGGAGTCCGGACACCCTTTTTTGACCACTTGCTAGCTTGTTGCTCTTCAGTGTTCTCCATGTTTCACCTGTTTCACCCCATCCCGGAAGAGACCTTTCAGATCTTCACCCTCTCTCCAAGCCAAGCCCGCCCCGCGCCCAGTCCCGCCTCGCTGTGAGGTCCCTGGACCGAGCCAAAGCAGTGCTCCAAGGGGCCGAATTCTCCTTTCTGCAGGCGCGCACGTTGACAGCCGCGTCGCCTGGCGTTTCGGAAGGAGGCCGGTGTGCCTCGGTGTGCATCGGTGTGGAGCGCGGACGTGAGATTCGGGGTGGAGACTGATTGAAATGGTTCGGGGGGATGGGGTCGCAGTCCGAACATCTGAAGTGCAAAGATCGGATGTGAAGAACAATGGATAGCCGATGCCACGTCCCAGGTGCGCCGGCGTGGCTTCTTGGCCAGGTGAAGGCGCGGGTGAAGACATGGCAGATGTGATGAGAGTTGCCGAATTCCTGTCGCGTTGCGGCGATGCCAGAAACTCAAACCCACTGTTGTGTTCACGAAGAATGAATCGCGCCTTGGTAGACGGTCTCCTCGTCCCTGTCGAGCCGTACTAGTACGGAGCGAATGTGAGGTCGATGTACGAACCGAACGCGGTACGCAAAAGGGGCGGCCTCGATTGCTGCCCGTTGACCGTGGCGCGCTGCTGTTCAAAAGGTGAAGGTAGACCGGTAGACTCAGATGTTCTTAGATTCTTTTTCCCTAGGAGATGTCAACGGCGAGTGTGGGACAAGCTAGCAATCTCTTTTACTTGCAGACTAGGCAGTGAGTTGGACCTCCATCCGGAAGCTGAGGGTCAAATCGCAGCCTGCCACACCAGGTGGTGCCATTTCGAGATATGTGTAGTACGTCTACAGCTTGCCTGTTTATAAAGTAAAGAGATCGACCACATCATCCCCGTGGCTATTTTGGCTGAGCAGAGTTGCTTTGATATGTACGGCACTCACAGTCGGTTGACGTGAGCGGCATGTGCGGAGCTGAGGAGTGACGAGAGCGGGCACCGGTCTTGGTCGAAACCAATGGCCTTTTCATCCCTTACCGCCAGGGCACTGGAAGAATATGGGACCTTGATGGACAAGTGGCCTTTTTCAGTACTGCAGATGAGTCTTTCTGGTCTGCTCTCTTTTGCCCTTGCTTCCGGGTCTGATGAGCCGCGTTTGCGTTTCCGTTTGCTTCGGTGGCCGTGTTTGGAACGAGCTACGCTCAGCTGAAGGGCCGCTCACCGAGGTCCATTGCCAGCATCGTCCCTTTAGAGGCGCCTGCGCCCAGTTTCCAGCCGATGTTCCACGCGGCTGAAGGGCTGAAGGGGGATTTTCCACGCGGAATGGGGCAAATGGGGCAAATGTCGTGCTAAAGCTGAAAAGCACGAAGGTCCCTTTCCTTTCTGCTGAAAAGCACGTGCTTTGCGCGCCAGGACGGGTGGGAAAAGATCAAGAATGAAGGCATCAAGGTACGGAGCCGGGGGGCCACCTGTGGAGGAGAACTGGGATGCCGATGATGAAGTCAGTTGGTGAGAATGAACCGAGGAAATCAACTTCAGCCCAGCTTCCTCCAGTATGCTAAGAATCCAGGGAGGTTTCCTTGATCCAAAGAAGACCCAGTTGTCGCTTGTTGGGCACGGGGGTTGCTCGTACACAACATTGCATTGGATATACACTGTGTTGCATGTACATAGTGTCGCATTTCATTGGTCTAGTGTTGCATTTGCACGCATAGTGCTATTGCACATCGATCATCGATCTACATTCGCCGCCATTTTTCTTCACTTCATTCTTAAGGTGGGGGTCGGTGCTGGCGGATGCTGTCGGGAGTCAACAGTCATGGATGGTGCACATAAGATGCGCGATGCTGGTGGCGATGCGGAATTTTCTAACCGGTGGTGAGGTCACACGAATGAGTCTGTAGCTCAACACCGATGGTGCTAGATAGGTTTGAACTGGTGGTGAAGTGCTACGTTTCTGCCCGTGGTGAAGTGGTGCGTGTACACGCGATGACACACAGGCAAATCTGTGCTTCCGCACCCCTTGGCTTAGGCAGGTGTGGAGGGCATGTTTGTCCATATCGAAGTACACAGATGAAACGATAGAGATATGATTACGTGAAAACCCAAATCGCAACGACTGCACGCAAACCGAACCTGGTGCAGTTGCACCGAATGGCTTTTTTTCCGTTAATTGACGGTACATTTGCGTACTTCTTTAAAATCTGTCTTTCCCTTTGGAGGGAGATCTTGGTAGAGTGCCACCTTTGTTGGTATTGGATGAAAGGAAGACACGCAGTCCACAACGAAAGGGGCATTTGCTCTGCTTCATGGCGCACGCTATTGCTCTGCTTCCTGGTCCTTTTTGAGGATACCGGTCACGTCCGAGGCGGCGAGAAAAGCCTCCAATATTTGAAACTCAAGAACTGAAGGCTCGTGGCCCCTGGTTTTGCATAAGGAAGGAGTTGTGCTTCACCCATTTGGCTGTCAAAAGGTGAACGCTTTCAGCTTGTTTCATAGGTGAGCGCATTTCCTCAGGTAGCATTTGCACCTGTGGAGAGAGTTATTCTACAAGAAATGGTGAACTCACACCAGGTAATGCCAGGATCAGGCTGGTCGACTGGTGGCCAGTCCTTGGACCATGGAGAAGCAATCGCAATAACTGGGTAGAAGCGTCGGTGGTGCGTGTACACGGCTGTTGCCAGCTGCTGTTACCAACTGTTGCCAGCTGGTGTGGACAGATGTTGAGAACTTGGCACACATACACACATGCACACGTTGAGACGTTCCGAAAGCACGGGCATCAGATGTTTAATGATGTGCAAGCAGTGCAAGCAGCTACCACTGAACCTGCGAAGCGTGCGCAAGAACATCCTTTTTCGGTGCGGTTCCGATGTCATCGCGAGGTCGCACCTCGTGACATTACGATTTGTCACAGCATGCCCTGATCGTTATTTTTGGCAGTTTTTTCAACAGATGTTTTGCCCGGTCCCATCAGGTTCCTGGACAAAACAGGTTCCAAAACAGGTTCATCAGTGTTTTCATCAGGTTCTGGAAGAGTTCCTGGACACTGGACACATTAGATCAGCAGTCCGAAGCTCGGCACCTGCGGTCCGTGCGGTCCGTATCAGCTCACCGTGGTTCCTCGGGTCGACGTCTCCACGCTCGGAGCGAAGAATTGACACCACAAAGGAGCCAGACGCAGTCCAACGCCTTTTCCTCAAGACCCACAACAGTATAGTTGATGCAGTTCCGTTTAGATTTGCGGAGCGCTTCTTGGACCCAAACAACTCGTCGAATGGGGCATTCTGCCACGGGCTGCCACCTTTTTTGTGAGGTGCCTCAGAACCAAGATCCCACGAAGCCTCGCATCTTCAGCAAAGCCAACTATGCGGAGCTCTACACGTGACTTGGCGAAGCGGGACAGAAGGAGGGGTGGATCCGGAGATAGAGGAGTTTCTTCTATTAGGCACTACGGCTCAAGGTATAGCTATGGGTTCTCAGGTGGTTGTCAACGCTTCATGGATTCATATGGATTCTTTGGAACATTGAGGAGGGCGTCCGGAAAGCAGGCGCCGAGCATTTTCTTACTTCGCTTGATCTCGTGAAACTCCTTCCCTTGCTTAACGAGGGTTTTGGCTCACTGAGGACCGTCTACAACATGTGCACCCAGCGGACTCCCAACAATTGGTGCGCGGACTCGGTGGACTCTTGTGACAGACTTGCAGAAGTCGGAGAGGGTGGTTTGGCCGGTGTGACATTTGCAGAAGTCTTCCCAGCTGAATCTGGCTGTCCCACCCACCGGATTCATCCAGATTCTACCTGTGGGTCAGAATTGAACTGCTATGTATTCACAGTCTTGAAACCCTTCCGATGCAGCCATCACTGGGCTACAAATGTTTGATCCACATTCCACATCCATATTTTTCTCAACCAGGTGATGTGAATGGCCATGTACTGTATATAACTGATCACCTCCTGCGTTGTGCAGGATGAAAATCCGGTAGGGCTGTCTTGCCGCGTGTTGGACTGCCCTGTCTTAGGGTGCTCGGCGACAATACACACAGACATGATTGGCAGTATCGAATTTTCCAAGATAGAGCTGTCGAGTTTTTCCCTCGGAGCTTTCTCAACCTCCGCAACTCCCTAGACCTTCAGCCTGACACGTTTTCGCCGCTCCGAGCCTTTTTTTCCTCTTTCGGCCAGGTCCGAACATCTCTATCGGCGTTATGGGGAAGCGATGTCTGACTACGTGCAGCGTCAGGTGCTGCGTCAAGCCTGGGTGGGTTTGGGGGATTGGGTCGGGGGGATCCTGGAATAGATGGAAAGTGCTGGCGACAGGTCGAAATCCCAAACAGCTGTTGCCTCGGTAGATGAACAATAACATGATGTCCCGTCAGGTATCCGGTATCGGTGCCGAGGGTCTGCCTTTGGTTCAAGCTGTTGGGCCTCTTGCCACTATCAGGTGGGGGTAAAGATGCAGTCGCCAAGTTTGGATCCCTTTTCGAGTGGTTTGGGCACCGTGCAGCCTTCTAGAGTGAGCGACGCGGACGCGGATGGCCTTTTTTGCCGTGCTGTGATGCCACAGGGATCTCATTCACATGCAGTTACTGCTGATACGAATCAACTTACAAGCCAGGCGTTTCTATCTACAGCTTTTGAGCCACTAAGTCCAGTTCATGGTGTTTCATCGGGGGTCCAAGACGAGTTTCGATCAGTGTACTGATTCCGGACCAAGCAGTGTTTCTTTTAAAGCAACGTCTAGGTCATGCACCGCATGTGCTTTCAGACATGATGATAAGTGGCAAAGTGACCAAATGATGTTTCATGGCTCTGCTAGCTATTTTGCATTGTTTTGCGGAACTTCCAAGAGGACCTAGGTACGGTGGGCTTCGCGTCCTGCGGTAGCTCTTCAGGTGCTACCAGCTTTGAAGGATAAGACAGAGATTGCCTTGATGAAGGAGCTCCTCCATAGGCACTGTGGCCATTGGGTCGAACATCCAGGATGGTAGATGGGCGGTGTGGGTGAGGTGGGTTTGGGAGGATTTGTGATCAACATTTTTCCAAATACACCATTTGGGAATCAAGACAATCACTTTGTCTCAGACCATCATCGGCATCGTCAGACAATCTAGGCATTTGTGCCAGGTCAAAAATCCGCAGATGAGACGGGCAGAAACTGACGTTGTTGTCTTCAATGGATCGCATCTACAAGGGCAGAAATTGCAAAGCTGGGGTGTGACCATCAGCACTCAGCACAGCTTCATTGTTGAAAGCTCCTTTTTGCAGATCTTTTGTTTCAGCAGATTAGCAAGCTGGGTAATCGATTTGCAGAGACATTGAAGAGGGAAACCGGAAGGCGTTTGTGAGGTGTAGGCTGTGGAGACGCACTCTGCAGCTAAACTTTAGATCTTGTCGGCTGTCGATGATCGACCGATTGAGAACTGCAACATACTAAGACTTCACCCTGGCCAATACCTCTTGGGCCTTAGAAGAATCTAAGAATGAACATGATGACCCTTCAGTTCTGACCCGATTCCATTGATACGGGTTGATCATCACCATGCACGTTGGGTGCGCCTGACGTCAACCTTTCAGGTGGTCGAACCACAAGATCTACGTCAAATGGATGGATCGATTCTTCACTTACTTGGTGTGCCTGCCATGTCTTGGAGTTTCCAACACCAAAGTTCTTTATTGCGGACCACAGACGGCTTCCGATCCGGCCAGAGCTGCCAAAAGATGCTTGAGACCCTTCGTCGCTTGCTGCATTCGGTTTGAGTCATTGCCGTTTTTGGAAGAGGTTCAGTTGCATTACTGATGAGACAACCGATTGATGAAGTGAAGGGATGGACGATGATGCACACCCGAGGGTTTCTGTGCGGTGAAAATGGCACCACCCTTTTCCAGTCCTCGTCTTTTCCCATTTTCGGCCAAGTTAAAGAGGTGGAGACTTTGACAAGGTAAAGATGTATTTGGCAAATAGGTGGTGACTACAGCTAGCTAGCTAGCTTCTGAATCCACCACTAAGAAATATTGGAAGATCTTGGGTCTGTCCCATTACTGTACCTGCAACAGTCAATAAACAATTATTATCACTATTTCAGAGAAAGGCTTTTACTAATGGGATAGACCCAAGTAATATCATTTTGAGGTCTTAAGTATATTCATCAGGCAGCTTGTGGTTTGGATTTCGTTTCAACAGCTTCAAGACCTTCTAAAATGCGGCAGGGTTTGAAGATTGTGACAAGCGTGCCAGTTGTGCCTGTCGCTTTCTGTTGAGTGTAGACCGCAGTTGGCATGTCCAGTCCTTGCTGTCAGCATTGCCAGGATAGGTACTATGTCAAGCTGCAGTCCGTGGAGCCATTGCACAACCGGGGCTACAGCATTTTCAACCAGCAAGCTTGGACCTTGGAGCTGAGCAGCCAAACCTGAGCAGCAACTAGCACTGTCTCAGCTGAGCTGGGATTGGGTTCTGCACCGAAGATTGAGTTTCTGAGAATGGTCGCCTCTGGACGATGCACCATTCACCGTTGAGAGGTTCCTTTTCCGCTACCTTCAGGAGTTCAAACCCAGGAAGGTATGTCAAGGTATGTCAAGGTATGTCAAGGCCAGAGTCTAAGTATGCGCGACGAGCAGGCTGAGCAGGCTTCGGCTTTGGTCTCATCATGTCTCATCGGTAGCATTCTGTAAGAGGTTCCATAAGCAAAGTTCTTTGGTATGTGATCTTTGTAAAGTCATTCATGGCCTCAACAAGAGCTTGTGACATGGCAGACAAGACCCAGGTTGCAAGGAGATGAGCCCAAGCAGGATGAAAACACGTGTTTTCACCGTGGCCTTTTAGGCTTTCAAAACTCGAGATCTGCCCATCCAAGTTCGGAGCAGCGGCCATGGACTTCCCCTTGTAAACACTAAGTTTTGTCTCTCCAGAGCTGCATGGACGAAGCTGCTGTCCATGAGCAAAGGCACGAATCATCGAAACGAATCAATCTCGACGCCTTCCCGTCTCCTTGGCGGACCACTTTGGTTGGATGATGGGCAAAACTTCCGCATCATCATCATCATCATCATCATCATCATCATCAGCAGTTGATGTGGCAAAACTCATCACTTCTGTCCTCTGTCCGACTGTCCAAAGATGTGAATCTTCTGAAGTCGAGCCAATCGGAATCCTTCCGTCATGTTCCGTCGGAAGTGAAGGCCTACTACTGTGACTACTGTGTTGCTCTTGAGGGCTATAGGGTAGACATGCCAGATCAACACTTGATGGGAAGTTATAAGATATATGGGTTTTTGCACTTGTGCTCCCAATGTTGTGATCTAGCTCTTTTGCACAATGACTTCAACACTTGGGATTTCTGAGGTGTTCACACAGGTCATGAAAGATACTCGGGCAGCCTTGCTGAAGATTATCAATCAGGAGCGACAAGGCCGGGGGTAAAGCGCAAGCTGGACGTGCTCGGCAAGAGGAGGGCCTGCCCACAATTCATTTTTCATCTCGTTCTTTGCAGGGTCTGGTGGCTTCTTGTTGAAGGCGACTTCCGACGACGGAAGTCGCAACCCCATTGGGTCTACTCATCCAACTCGCAGGGCACGTGGTTTTTTTGCACTTTTTTACTGTCCTTCCTGTCCCTTGCTTTTGGCGCACGCAGCTCGAGGCGAGCATATCGACCAGGACTTGGTAAAAGGCTCGGCCTGGCAGAGCTTCGATTGGAGCGGGTTCCCGCCATTTCGGTGACGGGTTCCCACCTCGGCTTAAACGCAGCACCGGTCCACCGGGACCAACACCGGTGCTTCGTTGAAGCCTTTGGTCGAAAAGCCCAACGCGGATGGGGGCTGAAAAGGGTTGGGCCATCTGGTGTGTTCTCTGACCGGACGTAGACTTTCAACGAAGAGCTTCGTAGATCTTGCGACGGGGACGCATCGGTCCCTTTGGTGCCGAGCCCACATGCATGCCCACCTTTTTGTAAAGGATGCTGGACTGCTACTGTAGCTTGAAAGGATTGAAGACGTTGCAGTGAAAAAGATGACTGGTCAAGATCTTGGGAAAGCTACTAGTAACAAAGGGCATCGCTACTAGGAGTAAGAAACTACTAGTAGCTCCTGGCATTACTACTAGTAAGAAGAAGTCACTAGTAACAAGGGCATCGCTACAAGTCAGAAGCTGAATTTTCCCGTGACGCGAACATCGTCGATTTAGCCGTTGTGGTTCTTCCACAAGGGCCACCGGTGTTGGGCCTCTGTTTGACGAGGCGTCATCGAGATCTTCATTGACCTTGGCCTGAACAGCCCAAACCTGTACAACACCGAATTCGAGGCCGTCAGAGGTCCTTCTAGCTCTGGGGGAGAGGTATCAAATTCTCAAAAGATTCAGTTGAGTGATGTGTGTTCTCAAAATATGAACAATCCAGCCAGGTTTAGTCAGTAGAGTCTGTTTAGTCCAGCAGTCTGGGTCCCTCTGAAAATGCTCTGTGGGTTTCTCCACACAAACTGAATTTGTTGACCGGAATTCGAGTTGGGAAGGTGTGCCGCAACAGAATCTGACCCTGGTGCTTGCGATATCAATAAACAGTAGCACCTTTGATATCTTGAAGAGTGTGAAACCCGGCATGCCCCTATTCTGAAGTGGAAGACACCGGTGTCATGCTTGTGCAAAGCCGTTTAAAGGCCTGCGTTCGTCATGTGGGCTCCGTGTTCGGTTGTCGGCCAAGTCCGAACCGCCTGCCGGTGCCAGGAAGCTTTCCTGCCCGCCACTAGCAGCTACTTCGTCCGGCAAGCCTCAGGTGGGTGTTCTCGGTGGCCTCCTTCGGTGCGCGATACTTGGTGTTCAATTGATGAACCCAACAATTGGGATCGATTCGTCATACCGTCATACCGAAAAAATGGGCTGAGATACTTGGGCTGATTCAAGATGCGACCCCTCAAGAAACGGCCCCTCAGTTGGAGTTCACCTGATCTCTAGACTTTAGAGGCTGCCTCCCACCCTGGCTCATAGGTCCTGTAGCAGGTCTCGACTTGACTCCGCGCCGTGATGGCACCGTTTCCGACTCGACAGGCTGGCTTTCAGAAGACTCGTTCCCTGAGTATCTGCGCAAAGCAGAGGTGCGGAGTGTGGTGCAGAGTGAGAAGCTAGGGCCAAGTCTTGGGGTAGATGGGGATGAAGCCATGTCGATGGCTCTCCAAAAGCGGATGCTTTGTCATGAGCAGACAAGATCCATTGGTGCATCCATGCAAATAGCACTGCGTTCCACAGGTACCTCCCGCGTTCCACAGGTGGTACGAAAATTTGTCACCCAACTGCGGATGAACAAGGTGTCTCTTGTGGTCTCCCTACGAAACCTCACCCGGACATGATCTGCAGATATCAAGAAGGAGCAGGCATGACATAGAGGCTTGACATTGGCTGACATTGGCTCGTTGGTTCCAAGATCGGTTCTCGTGCAGCACATGCGACATGTCTTTCGTGGCTTCCAAGGCGGCGTTGCAAGCGGAAGAGCAAAGATGTTGCAACTATCTCAGCAGGAGACTCTGTGCAGAGCTTTTCCACACATCTTGTTGGCGTCCCCCCTTTTTGGAGGTCTCTCGGGAAAAAAACGGAGGGTGAACGCCCGGGTCTCTGTTGATGTGAAGGGTTGCCGGGTTGCCCAATGTTGCCCACGTGCTTCTCCGAATGGAGGACCTGTCCCGATCGGTCGCGTTGTCGTGTGACGACCCCGCCTCCGCACTCACGGACGGATCGACGCGGTCCAGGACGACTCTTCCGAAATTGAAAAACGCCCGGCGCCCCAGGGAGAGGTCGCTTTCTCCCAGAAGTTCTCTGCGCAGTGTCCAGCGGCAACAAGTCTTCAAAAGATGACCGTTTCTTTTACAAAGGGCCGCGTGGGGAACGAAAGGGGGTCCTTTTCTTTTTTGGTTTTCTTTTCAAACCAGGCATGCGGTTCACTTGGGGATGTTTTCACGACCATTGCCCGGGTTTGGGATCCTTACGCTTTGACCCGGTGGCGATGCAGCGCTACCTCCGTCTTTCCCGATTCTTTCGGGAGCGTCAACATGATCCAGATGACAAAAGTACTAGGAAGAAAACCTTGCAGGGGTGGCCCAGTGCGCATGGCTACCCAGATATTTCTGACTGACCAAAAGACGCTCGAGGATTCGGGGATCCATCCCTTCAAACCAACTGCTCACCGGTATCCTCGCGAACGACGGGCTTGCAGGTGGTGATCCAAGCGGTGTTGGCCGCGCCGCAGGGGCAGCTCTTGGCCGGGCGACCTGGGAGTCTGGGAGGGTTCAGCGTTCAGAGAACAGCTGTTCCAATATGTTCAAAGCCCAGTGATGAAAAGTAGCTCGACCTTTACAATCACAGTGTAGATTGATGAAGATTGTGATCTGACTGTTTCGAACCCTCCAAAACTGTCAGATGTAAAGAAGCAGGAGATTGGTGATTGGTATGTGCCAAAGTGGCTGCTCCCAGTATATGACAAGGAAGATGTGATTTTCTTTGTCCAAGAATACCAAAGCAGAAGTTTGTTCCTTGCACGTCGAGTGACCCCTAACTTATGAGCATAGAGTTTAGACCCCAAGCGCACATCCCAATAGGCCCACGTAGAGCCAGACATTCAAGATTAAAGTTTAAAGATTATTCTGTTTCACCTGAAGTGCACAGAGGGACACGCGCGGCCAGGAAAAAGAGACCGGCGTGGTGTACCTTTTGGACAATGACAAGCGAGAGGACAGTGGCAAAGGGCCGAATAGACAGGAGATCTAAACACCGAAGGGGCTGCCAACTGCGATTGACGGTGTCTTCTCTTCTCTTCTCTTCCCTTCCCTTCGCTTCGCTTCCTTTCCCTTCCCTTCCCTTCCCTTCCCTTGCCTTTCCTTTCCTTTCCTTTCCTTCTTTCCCTTTCCTTTCCCTTCCCCTTCCCCTTCCCTTTCCCTTTCCCTTTCCCTTCCCTTCCCTTCTTGACAAGCTTTTCCTTTCCATTTGAGATGATTGATTTCACAGACCTCATCTTGACTTGTGCTTTCTCAGGGAATCGGTAGCAGTGGTGCTGAAGCTCCCTTTCGATAATACGGTGGCAGATGTCCTGAATCGAGGATTTGGCACGAATGCATCGGATGTTCTCCTTGGTGGAAGATGGCCCGGGTGCTCAGAGAGATCAGAGGGGACAGAGGGATCAGGTGAGGCTTGGGTGATCTTTGCAGAGTGAACTCGATCAGCTGTGCCTGGGTGGGGAGGGGAGTTCTTTCAGAACCTCCGCGCTGGGAGACCTCGTGTTTCAGACTTTTTGGGCGCATCTTGCAGCGGTTGGAGGCGATTTTGTCGCCCTGTTTGTTCCCCACGCAGAATTGGCACTTGGTCCGACTCTGCTGCTGACCGTTCGGACGCAGAGCCGACTCGACTGGAAGGCCTAGCCCCCATCGCCCAGTCCTTCCGACAGTATGTGACCGATAGGCCAGGGTCGGAGGAGGAGCATCATTGAAACTTTCGAAGTCGTCCTCTTTCATTCGACATGACCAAAGAGCTACTAGTATATAGCTTCTTGTTCCTAGTAGCGATGCCCTTTGTTTCTAGTAGCTTCTTGCTACTAGAAGCTACTAGTAGTAAGTTGAGTCACAGCAAGATAGATTGAGATTGGACCGGTTTGGATCCGAGTGAGGAAGATGGTCCAAGAGAACGGGAACCAAAAGGATTCATGACAGGACACGATTGAGACACGTTCACGTTGAGACACGTTCATCAGGGGATCCTTCAGGCTCAACGCAGACTCTGATCAACCACACCAGCTGCCTTTCGCGTCGGGTTGGACTGTCATGAGCGTCCGGTCCCGCCAACGCCAGGGGGAATCAGATTGTGGATGAGCGCGTGGAACAGCAGAAACAGGTGAGCTCGAAGACTGAGGCCTTGAACGCTGGGAGGCCAAGGAGCCATGCAGGAGCTGAGCTTTCACCCCAAGATAGGGGGATTAAACAAGGGAGCTTCAAGTTGTGCTAAGGTTTGGGAGATGTAGTGAATCTGACAGTCTGACGGTATGCACGGGAGTTTCGCGCTGAGAGTTTCTCAGGTTCGTCAAAAAGGCATTTCAAAGTATTCAACAGGCCTTCGGCGTTCTAGATCATGGAGAAGCTAAGGACCCAGCCTTCATCCAGACGTTGCTGGAGCTCCACGACCGCTTCAAAGGCTGGTTGCTTCGGACCACGGCAGGATCCACTTCATTCACACGTGGCGGTGAGGATGGGCATGTTGTGACACAACCTCCGAAGAGAAGCAAGTTGCATCTATCCAATCCCTCAAACCAATAAGGTACAGGTTCTCCCGAAAATGGTCAGTTTCTATGTTTTGTTCTGACACCTTGGACGTGGCCTTCCCTGGTGCGGCCTAAGCTCCGCTGCGCGGCTTCGCCACGGGCGTGCCAAAGAATTTGCGTTTCCAGGCATCGTGAACGAGTGCTTCTCTCAGGATTCGCGCTTTCAGAAGTCTCTTAAAGAAGGCGGGTGTTTTTTTTTGGCTGTTGGGAGCGGTCCAGCCTGGAGTAGAGAGCTGGAGTAGAGAGCTGGATGTCTCGTTCGATCCCTTGGGATCGAGCTGAGAGAACTTGGAAGCTTCTCAGAGCCTGAGGTCACAGTCCGTTCCATTCTCCTACAGGCTTCAACCACTATGACATTGTACTTGAGCAATCTCGAACTTGGATTGATGGACCGGAAGGGCTCTGAACATGGGCTCCCAGCAGGATTGGCCCTGAAACGATGGCAGACGACTGGTTGTTGCTTTCTGCGGTGGTTGAGCTTCAGCTTTACCTCTTGTGGGGCTACTCATCCATTGTAATGGGGATCCGACACAACCTTCTTCAATGCCACTCCATCATTGCTGTGTCTTCTTCCAGAAGGCGCTTCCCCTCCACCGCCTCCCCTGATCATCTCCGCTGCCCAGCCTTTGAAGTCTTCGTGAACCGGGACATCGGGAAGGCCTGGCAGCATCTGAGGTTCAACTCAGACTTGTGGTGCACACAGCAGCACTGAGTAGTTGCGTATAGTTGCCTAGTCTTGTCAAAGTGGTGATCTCTAAGGGCAGTGTCCCGACTCCATCCTGCTGCTGCTGCGGTTTCCACAACCCGCAATCCGCACACCGCGCAGTACTCCTTCGCGGCCTTGATGTCCTCCTTTTGTGACCGGATCCTCAAGAAGTCAGGCGCAGTGGAGAGAGACGGACGCTCCGCAGGAGTTCACCTGCCGGGGGAGAGAAAACCTGGTCCCTATCGAATCCGATGTAGACTAAGAACCCCTGGAAAAGGTTTGAGATTTGTAGCGTGCCAACCAGATGCTCAAGGATGAATCGCATGGGAACACGTTCACTGGGCGAATCCAAGTCTCACCTTGTGAGGTTTCACAGGCCTCATCTCAGGTCCTCTCAGGTCCTCTCAACGTGGGTTCACCGCAGCGGAGGCGAACGCTTATCCGATGAGCAGGTGGAGAATTTGCTCACAAAGATGGTGTGGAGCCCAGTTCTGGGGATGGTCCCCCCGATCTAATCCGGCGGAATTGGGGAGCCCGGAAGGATTCCCAGGTGCGATGTTTCGGAGGATTCCCACAGTTGTTGCGGGTTTACTGTTTTCGTAGATGCTTACCGGCTTACCATGTTCATGCCTGTGCCATGAACTACTACACCGCCAATGGGTTCAGAAGGGCATGCAGGGCAAAAGGCTTGGTCCCTGGGAAGAGGGGAGCAGTCTTCCCAACCCACGTGTGAGGAGCTTACACGTTAAACTGTAACAGCTTTCTAAGTCAGTCAAGGCATGTCTGGATGTTGACCGCAGACTTGAGCCAACGAAGATTCACTAGAAGCAGAAAGTCCTGGACCGACTGGTCCAATAATCTTGCGTTCGATGCAGACTGCCCCGGCTTGACCCACAGTCCTCAGCCTGGAGAAAACAACGGAACATAAAATTCGGAAGCCTTCTCGGACGACATGGGAGGCGACTTACGCATGCTCGCTATGTGCGTTTCAGAAAGTTTGAGACATCGACATCAACAGCAAAGGCGACTCCATCAACATTCACGGTTTGACACAGCCATTTGCCATAGCTGCGACGCTGCTGGGGATGCGATGGGTGGCGCTTGGTCGGAGGAGGAGGAGGCAGGAATGGCCGATATGACATGTGCATGCTTGTGGCCAATGCCAAGTAAATGAAGCTGAGGCTTGGATTCGGGGTGTCACCGAAAACCACGCTGGCAGCGGTTTCTTCTGCTCCTGGTTTTAGTGGCGCCTTTGGGGCGCATTTGAGCAGTCGTTAGACTCCCCCCGCTGTGGCTGGAGGTGTGTGCTGCGCTACCTCAGCAGGTGATCCTGCAGGTCCCACAAGGAGAACCTTTGGAGGACCGCATTCAGGAAACCGGGGTGACACGGAGGATGAACCGTTTCATGAAACGTTAGAGATCGTTTGAGGTCGCCTTTTGAGTTTTGTTCTTTTTGAGGTGAATTGGTGGTCTTTGCACATCCTAGAGCTGGTCAAACGAGGCAAACCGGATGAACACCCAAGGAATAAGTCTACAAACTACTTCCAAGAGTCCTCAATTTCAAGAGTTGTGACTCATGATACATTTGGTCAATCCTGAGCTGGGTAGTGAAGAGGTGGTTTGAACGTGAGACTACAATTTTGTCAGAATGATTGCATCACCTTTGATTTGCAACGATGCTTTTTGTGTACTAGGATTCGTGGTGCGATACCCTTTGTGAGGGTGGCCCCCAATTGTTAATGGTAGATGATCCAATGATCCAAACAAGAGATTTGCAATGAAATGTACTTTTACAGTACCATACAGTACCCTTTTCGGTGGCTTGCACAGCTTGGATTCTGAGGTCGACGGAACCACCGCCGACGACGGACCGGCTCGGACGGCACATGGCCTCTGCACCAAGGGCGGAGCTTAGAAAGACCCTGAACCCACTCTTATTATGCCCTACAGGCTACAGGTGTATACTTGGGCACCCCATCCACATCGCAACTGGCCTAAACTACCGGTGTGCATGTGGCGTGTGCATCACAGGCTCTTCAGCGCGGCGCTCGCACGAATGCGTTGCCGAGCCACTTGGGGACGACCAAGCAGGTGAGGTGACGGGGGCAGCCAGTTGAAGGCGAGTAGCCTAAAAGATCCTAAAAGATTGGATACACATGCACATGTTTTATAAATATATATTAACAACCTGCAGTATGGAGTATTTGGGCGATATCTACAATCTACCGGGAAAGGAAAGGCTTTTTTCACTTTGGCAAAAGAAGGTTGTCCTTCACGGTACGTGTTGGGGGGCTGCTTCCATTCTGTTTCATGTGTGACAGTATAGGAGGATCTTTGGAGTATCCACTAAAATCACAGTTTCTGTGAAGCGTTCTCATGTCAGATCGCATCACCATCGAACACCCATGAACCCTTTTGGATGCGTTTGGATTTTGGTGGATCCTTACAGACTTCAACACGGCACAGGCTGTTCCGCTGCGCCCCAGCCTGATGCTGGAAGCCGAGCCCAGCCTCGAGGGAAATACGGTCGCTGGGCGGCGACTGGGTAGTGGTCATCTCAACCGCTCTTTTCGGTTCAAAGGGACATGAGACCACCAAGCCTCTCGACAGGATTTTGCGAAGCGCATGCGGTTCCGTATGTGCTTCTTCTTCTCTCGACCCCGTCGACCCTGTGAATTTCTGGATCGACGTTGGCGTTCTTGGAAACGTCGATGATTCTCATGTTTTTGGAGTGACATGGACTTACATGTGTACTTTTATCCGGATGGAGCTGTCAAACACCCGTTCAAGCTGAAGAACGACTCGTGTTGGACTACCAACCAGCTATTGGGACTCGCCCCACAATGCCCTCATGGAGCTTGGTGTATGTCTGATCTCACAAGAAGTGACTATACCCGTCCGGCCAGCCTGGCTAGGATGGGGTGGCTTGACCCCCTGGCTAAAACGCATTTTAGCCAGGGACCCGACCCCATTTGGGGCTGGCTAATTTTGAACATCATGGATCATGGAGCTAGACCAGGGAGGCTAGAATGATCAACAGATGTTCAACAGATGTTGGACCCCCTCATTCTAGCCAAGTCACTTTAGCCACAGTGTCTTTTTTGAAGCCTTAGGCCAACAGCAGTCAATAATACTAACAGAGGTTGGACTAGGTAATTTTAGCTGAGTCAAGTTTACTATTATTGAGTTGTTCTGACATGCATGCCCTGTGCACATTTTGCACCTCTCCACAGCCACATGCATCGAACACCTGTGAAGCCTCAGTTTGTTGTCCAGGAGGTGCAAGTTATGACAGTCTTGTGAAGCCATGCCATGCTTCACACTTCCCGTTTTCACTGCTGCGTGTTTCGACGTTATTTCATCCAATCTGAAAGGAAGGTCATTTTTCTTGGATATATGCAGCAATCTGTCATGTTTCTTTCTTGCGAAAATCCGCCTGGATGAACTCTTGAAGCCATTTTGGCTGTCAGAATTCTCACGAGAGATGCATCTCGTGCGGGTGCCGGTGGGAGGCAAGGGCTTAGGCCTTTTTGCCCAGGGAGCCATCAATGAGGGAGAGGTTGTGGGGCACGGGATGTGCCAGTGGATGAACCACTCGTGCAATCCCACATGTGCTGTTGGCAAGGAGCGCACAGTCCCTAGGCTTGATAACTAGCCCTTTCCTGAGTATTCTTAGTGCTTCTTATAGATCTTATAGATCGTACAGGTAAGGCCTCAAATCGTTGGAGATGATGGTATTTGGTGACAAAATATGCAACTCCGGTTTCATCCGTGTTGATTGATCAGGTTGTCGCCAAGTGTGACATTGCAGTTGGGGTGGAGCTCACGGTGAACTATTTAGTCATTCCGACGTGTTTGACAGGAGTGGTTGGGAGTTGACAGGAGTACACTGCTCCCCGATTAGATTTTCTTTGGCTCAGGGAGGCATTGCGTGGTAGTGTGTGGTATTATTGTTGAGCAATGGCGTTCATGTGGTGGTTCTTGATGTGGCTGGGAGCTACCGAGGGAACGAAGCATTTGGACACAACAACGGGACTGGCAGAGGAGCAGTGGTTTCGTGCATGGGAGCACATGCCATACCTCAATGAAATCTGTCGCTTGCCAGAAATAAAAAATAGGAAGTAATAAAGACCAACCGCGGGTGTTTGAAAGATATTGTTTTGGAGTTATTTGGGTGGGGTAAGCCCAATACAGTAAGTGTAAAGATTTGAATATCAAACTGCCGACCTCGCAGGTCAGCGTTGGATCGGACAGCAGGACCTTGCATGTGTCGATTTCTACAGCCGCTCCCGCAAAGTGGCCAAAACCTTCGAGAAGCACGGCAAGAAGGCAGTCGCCTTTGACATTGCTACAAACGGTGCTGAGGACATCCTGTCCCCAGACGGTTTTGAAATGGGTCTATCTCTGGCTCTTTCGCCTTTTGGGCAGAACCATCAACGATTTCATTTTGTTCTACTTTGAATAGTTTCGCAGTTTGCTCTTGTAAAGGTTTGAGGAGGAAGCAACAAAAAATATATCCTTCCACATTACTGGGTGATGACAGCTCAATAAAATGCTGGCATGCTGACCTTTTCTGCTGTTTTCATGTGTGGATGTTGGC